CATTTCATTCAAAATAAGCTGCACTGTAAAAATATCAATAAATTAGCAGTTAAAATTTGTATTCTTTTATTTCCCCCATTTATTTATGCTTTCGAATTGCATTGAGACCCTAATCGTTTCCTTTAGCTTAGTCCCTTTATTCATCAGGGGTTGCCAAAGCGGAATGGACAGCCAACTTATCCAGGATGTGTTTTACACAGCAGATGCCCTTCCAGCCACAACCCAGTACTGGGAAACACCCATATACACTGATTCACACACACAGACACACATGCACTACGGCCAATTTAGCTTTTTCAATTCACCTATAGCGCATGTCTTTGGACTGTGGGAAAAATTAGAGCACCCGGAGGAAACCCACGCCAACACAGGGAGAACATGCAAACTCCACACAGAAATGACAACTGACCCAGCCGGGACTCGAACCTGCAACTTTCTTGCGGTGAGGCGACAGTGCTAACCAATGAGCCACAAATTCACTTCCTGCAACAACTTTTAACTTTTTTTTTAAGTGACTTTTATTAACATTTTTATTAGTGTAAAGTGATGTCTTGTCTGGGTTGGTGTTGTATATTATGGTACAAAACCTTGTAATAAACCACCAGTAAAAAAAATTCAGACTTATTTCTCTATATATTATTTCTGATACATAATATTATTTCAAACTACTAAAATGTCAATAAAAGTCACTTTGTTAAACTGTAGAGTTGAATTTTCAACATTAAAAGTGGACAGAGCAGAGACCAACATCCCATAATGTAATTCTCAAACTTAAATAAACAGAAAACACTAGCGAATTACAAAATACGGAAACTGTTAATGAAACAGAATGAAGCCTTTTTTTTTTTTTACAGATTTTGTTTGTTGGTCAGTATTATAGCCTGGAAATGATAAAGATGATGACTTACAAACTTTCATACTTTGATCATTTTACAAAATACATGATATGCCTTTTGATCAACAGGCTTATCAAAACACTACAATTCCTACTGACCCCAAACCCAAATTACCCCAAACTGCCAAATCCATGCCTTCAAGATATTATACTTTTAAGTTATCCAGTAGTTTGTACTTTAAGATGGCCTATGATTTTTATCAAGAATAAAATTGAAAATGATAAAAAACAGATTTACTTTGAAACAATAATTATATATGTATGTATGTATGTATGTATGTATGTATATATGTATATATATATATATATATATATATATATATATATATATATATATATATATATATATATATATATATATATATATATATATATACACACCTGTAGAGAGAATTATTAGCCCCCCCTGAATTATTAGCTGAAATGGGCTGATAATTTTGTCCCTAAAATGGTGTTTAAAAAATTTAAAACTGCTTTTATTCTAGCCGAAATAAAACAAATAAGACTTTCTCCAGAAGAAAAAATATTATCAGACATACTGAAATTTCCTTGCTCTGTTAAACATCATTTGGAAAATATTTAAAAAAGAAGAAAAAAAAAAACAAAGGGGGCGAACAATTCTTACTTTAACTGTGTGTGTGTGTGTGTATATATATATATATATATATATATATATATATATATATATATATATATATATATATACATACACACACACACACACACACACACACACACACACTCTCTCTTTTTTTTTTTTTTTTTATTTATATATATATATATATAAATAAGAAAGTGTGAGTGTGTGTGTGTGTATGTGTGTGTATCTGTATATATATATATATATTTATATATATATTCTTACTGAGAATTAAAATATACAATAAATTATAACATCTAAATACAAACAGATATACGTACGTATGTATGCGTATCCGTGAGGGTCTATGTGTGTCTATCTGTATATATATATATATATATATATATATATATATATATATATATATATATATATATATATATATATATATATATATATATATATATATATCTATATATATATA